AGGCCTTACATTAGCTCTCCTCCAATCATCTAGTACAGATGCTGATTTAACAATGTTTTCCGTCTGCCATGCCCTTCTGAGCCTCCGTCAACACCCGCGAATATTGGTCACTCCCGATACCATCCAGCATAACTAGTAATTCACACATAACATTTAAAACACAGGCACCGCAAATTCAACCCCATAGTTCCTACTTAGGTACCTAAATAAGTATCCTATGAAGCTTTCTCTGACTCTAATAGAAGTTGTGGGTGCTCAAACCCTCTGAAAATCAGACCCGTTATTTAGATGCCTAAATGTGGATGTAGGAGTCAACTTTACATCCCCAATTTTGAAATGTTTGGCCTTCTTCATATTCAGACTTTTTAAATTGACAAAGTTCCCCAAATCCATGAGTCTAAAGCAAATTAAGGCAGTGTCCTGGAACAGTACAGTATATCCCAAATCAAAATAATTTATCATCACAATAATCATTCATACCTAGTTCTTATAATCAACAGGTAGTTTTTCAATTGCAACTAATTCTATGAATTAAGTAGACAAGTGGGGTTCACTTATATACCCCAACACAGTTCACCACTAACCTCGTAACATTAACTATTCTGCCAGTGCCTGATTTTCCACTAACCAATTTTACCGTTATGCAGTGGCTATTCTGGAATAGCCCCCACTGTGGACAGACTATTCCAGAATAAAAGTCACTGTATTCTAGAATAATCTGTGCACTCACAAAGTCCACTAATAATTCCAGAATAAAGTGACTTTTAGTCTGGAATAGACTGCCCAAACTGGGAGCTATTCTGGTCAATTTCCCCATGTAAACAAGCCCTAAGAGAGGATGCATACACATGTACCAGAAGGCAGTCTTCTTGGGCCCTAATCCTCTTAGGCAGATTCCTGCTTTGGGGCCTGAAAGCACAGATGCAGTTGCAAGACCTGGGCTTTGGTTTGCCTATCATTATCTCAATAAGATGATCCTGTAAGAAATCGATATAAAATTATATCACCAATCACACAAAATATGGAACTTCCCCACAGAAAATTGCAGAAAAAAAATCATGCAAAAATCTCTTACCTAACGGAACATCCTGATATATATATATTTAAACTAATTACTTCTTTTTCTTCATAATTAAGTACAGTTTATGTCAACCTAATATATTACCAACTGCACACACTGTCCCATTGCTACTTACCTGATCTTTCCCTTAGAAGCTCTGGCAGCCCTTGTGCTCTGGCAAAAATAAAAGGAGCTTAAATATGTTTACCCCGAATAGAGCTTTTAAATAGGAAGAAAGTAATATGATAAGGAGCCAACCTCATCTGCACCAGGAAATGTTTTTTGGAGTCATTTATCACTTTTTTTATGCTCCAGTTACTAAATAATATTATTTCCACAGATCTAGTATGGGTGGGAACATCGTAATTGGCAACCTCCAATAGCCAAATAGGGCCAGATTTTCAAGTGCTAAGTATCTACTTCTAGGGCCAGATTTTCAGAAGAGATCAATGCAGTTTAGGCATCTAAATCAAGGCCAAATTCTCAAAAATACTCAGCCCCCAGCAGCTCCACTGAAAAACATGGGAACTTCGGAGTGCTGAACCTTTTTAAAAACCTGGTCACTTCATTTAAGTGCCTAAACGGGAGCTGTGTTTTTCTGAAAATTTGGCCCTTTCATAAAAGCCTGATTTTCAAAGGTGCTGAGCACTCCGTAGTTCCCCACCGAAGTCCCGAGAGAAACTATTGCTTATGGTTCGTATTGACGATTTTCAGAAATGCTCAGTGGCTCACAGCTCCCATTGACTTCAGCAGGAGCTGCTAGGACTGCAGCACTTTTGAAAATCAGGACGCTTACTTATGCACGTCATACTTAGGAGCCCCCATTTTAGAAAATTTTGACCTTAGTATCACATTTCAATTTCAACCTTTCAGAAAAAACCTTCAGAATGTTGGGCACATTCTACCACTAAAATCAGGCCAGTAAGGTGAACGTGAGGCGAGATTTTCAACAGTACCTATGGCCTTGTCTACATGGGAAAGTATAACCTATGGTGTGACTTTAAACCCAACATTATCATACTACTATAACCCCACGTAAACACTTATTCTGATATAACAATGTCTTTTTTTGGTTTTGTTTATGTTGCATTGGAAAGGATTTTGTTAAATCTAGATAAGGCATTCCTATACCATAAGAAGTGTCAACACAAGGGATTATATCTGTATAACTCTACTGACACAACTGGTAAGAGATTAAGGGTACGCCCACACCACAAATTAAGGTGTGATTGTAACACAGGTAGGCATACAGTGCTAGCTTTAATCTAGTTAGTGCAGGTAACAACAGCAGTGAAAATGCGGTGGTACAAACCCTCCAGGGACTCTGGGTATGTACTTGAGTTGCTGACCTGCACTGGGGGCCTTACTGCCATATCTTCACTGCTGTTGTTACCTGCACTAACTAGATT